CCTCTACAGACAGACAGGAGCAGCCTCTCATTCACAAGCCCTGGTCCTCATGGGGAATTTCAACCACCTCCATATCTGTTGAAGGGACAACAGAGAGGGCATAAAAAATCCAAGATGTTCCTGAAATGCTTCCTTCTCCAAGAGGAGCCAGCAAGAGAGGTGTTATGCTGGACTTTATTCTCTCCAACAGGGAGGGGCTAGTGGGGAATGTGAATCTCAAGGGAAGCCTTGGTGGCTGTGGTGAAGTTTGAGATCCTTTGGGCAGCAAGAAAGGTGCACAACAAGGTGGACTTCGGGAGAGCAGACTATCTGGCACTGGGACCAGTGCTGTTTATCATCTGTGATGGTGACATGAACAGTGGGGTCGAGTGCATCCTAAGCAAGTTTCCCAATGACACCAAGCTGTGTGGTGCCATTGACACACTGGAGGGAAGGGATTCCATTCAGTGGATCCTTGACAGGCTTGAGAAGTGGTCCCATGCAAACCTCATGAAGTTCAACAAGGCCAAGTACAAGGTCCTGCACCTGGGCCAGAGCAATCCCAAGCACAAATACAAGTTGGGCAGAAAATGGACTGAGAGCAGCCCTGAGGAGAAGGGTGTTGGTTGACGAGAAGCTCAGCCCAGCTGTGTGCCCTTGCAGCCCAGTGAGCCAGTACAGTATCCAGGGTTACATCAAAAGCAGCATGACCATCAAGTTGAGGGAGGTGATTCTGCCCCTCTACTTGGCTCTTGTGTGACCCATCCAGCTCTGGGGTCATCAGCATAGTAAAGACATGGACCTGTTGAAGTGAGTCCAGAGGAGGGCCAGTGAGGTGATCAGAGGCTGAAGTACCTCTCCAATGAAGACAGGCTGACAGGGTTGGCATTGTCCAACATGGAGAAGACAAGGCTCCAGGGAGACCTTATAGCAACATTTCAGTACTTAAACAGGTTACTTTTGACAAGGGCATGTGTGATTGGAGAAGGAGGGATGGCCTTAAGCTGAAAGAGAGGAGGTTTATATTAGATATCGGGAAGAAATTCTTTACTGTGAGGGTGGTGAGGCAGTGGAACAGGTTGCCCAGAGAAGTTGTGGATGCCCCATCCTTGGAAGTGTTCAAGGTCAGGTTGGACAGGGCTCTGAGTAACCTCATCCATTGGAAGGTGACCCTGCCCATGGCAGGGGGCTGTAACTAGATGATCTCTAAAGTCCCTTCCAACACAAATAATTCTATGATTCTGTGATGACATCTGTAATGAAAATACCTTTTTCCACATTAAACTCAGAAGAAATTTCACTGAAAATGAGGTCTATATTTTCACCTGCAGACTAGATTACTTCAGTTTACTCTATCCAACTCTGAATGTGAAACCTGCAAAAAGATACCAGCTTGGACTGAACACATCTACATTCTCCATGCTAGACTAATATAAACATTCAACCTGATTCCGAGGCTGACTTCCTGACAATTCAGGGATTTATTTTTTAACTAACATTAATTGCAAACAACACTAGAGAGCAATTTCATGTACATAGCCACTCAATTCACAACAAGACAAAGACTTAGTGTGTAGGAATATCAGATACTGTACAAATCCAAATGAGGAAAGATTAATTCAATGAGATTCTGGATTATAACACAAGAAATTAAATTTTGAAACACCTTTCACTGCTAACAAAACCCCACACTCATCAGACACTCCTTCTGATATCCCAGAGCTACTGTGAAGCTCCTTAGTACCTATATGAACTTCAGGAGACCACTTTCCAACATGTATTATGGGTCTACATTTCATTAAGCACACTAAAGATCATTGTTAAACTAAAAGAGTTACAGGAATTTCTAAAATGAGTCAATGATACCGTCATTTCAAGGATCTAGTCAAAATGGTATACAAATTCTACTTAAATTTTTGAAGCAAAAATTGCCTTATATTGGTGCTTCTGACTTCCTGCTTTGGAAGATTTGTTTTTAAGAATGGTCCAAAACATAAACTAGTGACAGAAAAACATGGTATGATCCCAAATGCGGATCCAATCTGAATTTGGTTAGAAAAACAGCAGCTTGCTAAAACAACAAAGTTCAGAAAAGCATGCACATGACTGGTAGTTCCTCTCAGAGCTTCTATTTGCCTGACAAAGTGGTCTCAAGTCCCTCTGGAGCAGTAATTCCAGCTAGGTCATAGCATATCTGAATATACAATTTGATCAGTTTTGATAGCCCTTGAACTGATATAGCTTGACCTTTATACTCTTTGCCAAAAGCCACTACCAACCTTATGAACTTTCCTAAGTATTTAGTCTTGTCAGGATATTATCTGACAACCCTTTTAACATCCAACATATGCAATGAGCTCTCCCAAGAAGATGCTAATGCATAAGGAAAACATATGTAGATGAAAATTCGAAAGCACTTTTGTCAAGATTTTAGAGGGGCCATAGTAATATTTTTTTTCCTCACAAAAAGATATATAAAGGCTCTCCTATTCAAGCATGCTGTTCTGGATTTACCTGACTGAAGTTATTGTTAATAATGTGCTCTTGTTAAAATTGTTTCTACTGTTTAATATTATTATAAATAATATTTTGTTAACGGAAGGAAGAAAATTAGGGGAAAACTGTCAGATATTCAGAGAACCCTTAAGCTTCCAAGACATGATCGGTTCTCAAAGATCCAAGAACACTTACTCCAAGACTTCTTATCTTCTAGATATGTTAAGTTTTCAGCAATAAGAACTGTTGCTCTATTATGTATGTTAAACTGTTATGCTTATCCCCTTAAATTACTGCTTCTGCAAAAACGGGGAAGAAACCTTATTTAACACAGACTCCAGGTAACGAGGATTTTTTTGCAGGCTATTTATACTTTTTTCCTGGCAAAATACACAGGGAGTATTTTCTCCTTCCCTTCTTCACCATCCTGCAATATTCTGAAATAATTATTATACTCTATCTATTGCCACTGCCTTAGTATGGAAAAAACATTTTAATATAGAAGAGTAAGTTCTGATCATTATTCCTCAAACAATCAGTGATTATCATTTTTCTAGGTCACTGAATATCTTTTGAAAAGGAACAAAATGCAGGAAAACATAAAATAAAAATTCCCACCAGAAGACAATATTCTTTGCAATATTCAGTTTTTGAAAGGCAATGTGACTCTGTTGCAGCACAGAAACTAAACACTTCCATTGGACAAAATCAGAGGAACACAATAAAAGAACACATAAATAAACATTTTTTTTGCAGTCTACAGTTTGAGCTGTGTCCTATTATCAATGAAGCCACTATTTTTTAGGCAAATACACAACACAAAATGAAATGGTGACATAGTAAGTGGTGGAAACACAAGTATACAACTATCAATGGCAGAGCAAGATCAGCCTGACATTGCTTTTGCACTGTCAGCACAGGTGAACCCTAGCTCATCTCCTACTTTAAAACTCTAGAACTAATAAATAAACCAAGTGACACCGAGTGTTCTAAACCATGGCAGCGAACTAAGGAGACTGACTGAAGGAGTTCAGGGCTACAGTGCAAAGGACTGCAGCCTTGTTCAGCCCAAATTCTACCTAAACACTGTGCATTTCCTATCACCAGTGTGTGCCTCTGAAGACCTAAAATCAAGAAATAAACTGCACAGAGAGATTATGTAGCTTGTGAGCATTTGAATTAGTACACAGCATTCCCTGGCAGTTTAGAGGAGAAGTTTACACATGGAAAAACACTGCACCTACTTCTATTACAAACAATAGTATTTTTCAGTGAAAAAGTTATCTCTTGAACCCTTCTAACATCAATAAGTGTAATCTCAGAAAATGGAAAATTAAGACTTTATAAAGCTCTAAACAATTTTGTACTTGACTTTACACCCAGATGCAAATTTAAAATGACCTGCATGTACCATTGTGGGGTTGGTTTAGTTTGGTTTGTTTTTCTTGTTGTTTCATTTTATAACCTTGCAAAAATGTCACAGTTTAATGATAGCCACTTGTTTGTGTTAAATCTTAGTTTCTATGATTGACTTTAATTTAAAGGTCCCAGGTAAAAAAAAAATATACACTTTTTGACTCGAGTTCTCCAGAACAGACTCCACCATGGAGAGAATGCAAAATCCCACACTCTCAGAGAGCCACTTAGAGGCTGCAAAACAAGTATCAATTTAGGGGTGCTTAAGTTACTGTTGCAGTGATACCTGTTAAGGCAAAACCTCGTGGCAGATACACACAAAACTGAACAGGGAAAAGAAGAACAAAGTAGAAGAAAAGAAAATAAAAACAACAAAACCACCATAAACAGAGTAATGAATGGGACTTATAAACAAAGCTACTGGGAATCCATTAACGTTCCTTGAGAGGGTTTTGCAGAGGTGGGAGGGCCAGGTTTCTGTGATTTTGTTTGTTTGTTTGTGTGTGGATTTTTTTGTTGTTAGTTTCTTCAACACAAATATCTTTGTTTCTTTGACCTGCTCTCATATAAACCAGATTTCTTCATTAGCTATATATTATTTTGTTGGAAGGGGAAGTTTTTATTCTTTCATTTTGAAAATTGGTTTCCAAATTAACATTGAGTTTTACAAGGACTGTTAAGAAGAAAGCTCAGTAAAATATAGATCATTACCAAAAAGATTTTAGGACTTTATGAATAATATCATGTCATTAAAATTTTTATTAAGACTACACATAAATGTGCTCAAGTTTTTTTACATCCTATTTATATCTGAAGAATGTCAAAACAGAAAGCTATTAAAAATATAAAATAAACTCTTGGTTTAGCTACAATCATTAGTATTTTCAGTGAAGTTCTGCCACTTCAGTGAAATGTACCAGAGGAAAAAAAAAAAGAAAAAAAAAATCAGACAAGCTGCTTACTATAACAAAAAACTAAAAATAACATCTAACAGTTTATTTGTAAACCATGCCCTAGTTACAAAAAACACTGGAAGAAGGACTAATGAGTTTTATATTTGAGGCCCATTTGAGATCTTAGAAGGTACTTAAAACTCTAACAATGCTTACCTTAAGGACACACTATACTCGGGATAAAACACGCTTTTATACTGAACCCAGGTCCCAGTTTCCTCTTCCATATTCTGGTCCTCTACTGAAAAGAGATTGAAGGATGCAAACCTTCTTACAGATACTTGTTGGAGATGCACATCTTTCAAGTGCTTTTTCTTCAGAACCTTTGAAATGAGGAACAAGTTAAACGTTAAGAATAAAACTTCAAAGAAAAGAACAAACAGAGGCCTCTTTAGGTAAAGAGGCAAACCATAATGGCTATGCTATCAGCTGATAGTTACAAAAACCTACTCCAAGTACGTCAAGCCTGAACAAAATAACAATGGTATTAATGGTAAGGGTCAAGGGAATGGGTTATGAATTATGTTTCAATAACTGTAAAGCAAATGGACTGTGTTCAGAAGTACACAGTACATTTGCTTTTTTAACTCTTGCTCCAGCAGACCCATGCAAAAATTAGAGGGGCAAACCAAGTTCTCCCCATCCTCTCATTTCACAAAGTTTCACAGTCCAAGCAGCGCCCTCACCAAGAAATTTCTGTGCCACTCACTGTTCCTATAGAGGGAGGGAAAAAAAAAATTAAGCAAGAGTATCATCTCTAGAATCTAAATAGCTAAACCCAAACCATGATCCTCTGGTGTCTGAGTACTATGTGTTTCCCTGGCAGATCACCTCCTACCTTATAAGTTATCTGCTGCACATTTGCCAAATTGCTGTCAAAGCTGCCCGAGTTGAGAAACCTGCCACCTGTACCAAGCCTCAAAGTTACAGACACCACAATGGTGTATTCCCCTACCAGGCCCCCATAAGGGGACTGATGCATGAGCCAGCCCTTATGTGAACCCCAAAATACACTGACAGCACCAAGTTCAGTGCTAAGAGACAGAAGAATTCAAGGCAGTGGGAGAGACAGAACGTGGTCATTTGCATTTCATAAATGATTACAACACTTGTTCGGGAAAGTGAAAACATGGACTCTCTTCCTGCATAGTCTGCTGCACTCAGCCATCCTCAGGGAGCAAAGTAGCAACCTGTGCAGGAAAACCTGGCATCCTGCCTGTTTGAGCTGTGTCATTGCACAGAACAGACAACACAGCCAGCACTTCCCTGCCAGACAAAAAGACTTATTCCTTGGGTCATTGATGTGGAAGGAAAGATATCCTGGATTTAACTTTTCTCCTAACATTGGACAGAATACATAAATAATTGCCATTGCATTTTTAAAATTAAGGTGCATATGCAGTCCACAGTGATGAAAAAAAAAACAAACACCAAAATCAGAGCAGAAAATAAAGTCATAACTATAAATTGACAGAGGTACAAGAATAGCTCCATTGAGTAGGACAGCATCACAATTTACAGATTTTTGCCAACTAGAGATAAATCAAATGAGAAACAGCTCTCAGAATTAAGAAACTTGAAATGGAAGCTTTGCATACAGGATGTGTACAAAAAATAATGGGTCACTGATTTTTTTGCTGTATCCAACCTCTGTTGACATGCTTTAAATGAAAATGCACTCGCATTCAACAGCCTTACAATTTGAGGCCACGACCTCTTATTTTTCAGGATACTTCGAAGTACTACACATGTGAGGAGAATCACTGTGTATGCTATGCTGTTAGAAACTAACAGCAGGTTTGAGGAATCAAGCTTACTGCTTTTGGATCCATTGGCAGGTCTCAGCATATGAAAGGCACAGGCATTTTCAACAAAGTATGAAAAACAGCTGTGTGCTGTCCACACTACTTTGTACTTCTGTACCACGTGAGAAAAATACATACATGAAGGAAATGGCAAAAACATCAAAACAGGAGAACCAAATTAAAAGACCAGCAAAATTAAGACCTTCATGTAATAGCAGCAGGCCTGGAAACAAAATGGTCCATCCTGACAACTAAAGAAAACCATCAAGACCTAATTTTCAGAAAAGCTGTTTGGGGGCTGCTTTAAAGCAATGGCAAGCCAAACACACATATAGGGAGTAATCTAATGCATGCCTATTTCTCTAACTTTGTTGCTAAAAACTACAGACTGGATAATGCCATCAGTTGCACACACTGGCAGAACTCAAAAAACAGCCTTAGAGAATTTACTCCTGTTATTTTCAAATGCATTTTCAAATGAATGGCTAACTTCCCTTAGCACTGATTGAATGCAAAAAATATTTTTCTTGATTCTGACAGGTTAAGTTTAAAAATGTTGCCAAACTTCAAACTCACTACATACATAAAACATTTTATTGATAAAGAACACATAGGTAATTATGCAAACCTCTGGTTCTTTATGCTAGCTTCATAGGATACCTCATAAAAGGGCTTTTTTCTTAATTAAATCAGCGAGCAGGCACTCAAGTATCCTTACCATAGTAAATCAATTTGTGTGTGCATTGAATGAAAGCAAATTCAATATATAAACACACCACAGAACTGATTTCACGTAAGCCACTATTATAAGCAGTATGAAATGTGTTTTTAAAAGCACTGTAAGAAACACTTTGACAGTGCTCCTTTAAAGATGGATATAAAGGGAGGTTGATACCTTCTTCCAATCCATTTGATACCTTCTTCCAATCCATAGATAGATCTGAGCACTTCTGTAGTAAAGAGTGCAGAACTGATTTTTACTTCAGATGTACCAGTAAGATTAAATTGATCTTTGCTCATTGTACCATACAAAAATCAAAAGAAAAGCTAAAGAACATGGGAAAACCCAGGGAATATGTAGAGGAAAAGGTCATAGATACGTGTAGTTTGAGGAAGAAACAGAAGTCTTCTCCCCAAATACCTACGTGCACCCTTCCACAATCCCATTCTGTTGTTATGAAAAGCTATGGGATTTTTAAAAGACAGGAATATGCCAAAGACAGTATATGTTGAAAACAAGTAATAGCTAGTATAGCCACAGAGGTCAGCTTACACAGCCTGCTAGAACAGAAACCTACAAAGACAAACCTGATATTCCCACCAGTAACTTTGACATTTCCTGCTTTAGAGTATAATAAAACAGAATTTGGTCCTGTTGAACAGGATCAGCAAATCTACAAACCAAAACCACATATAAAATGCAATATTGATGCCCTCAGGCCTCTCACTCCATTACCCAGCTGCAGCCAGGTGGCCCTTTCAACCCACCTTCTCAGGGAGAGCTGCCAATGGGCAGCTCCAGGTGTGCATTTGCAGAGAACTAAACATTTGAGTAATATATCACATCCCATAACAATAACAACTAATTAAGCTGATCTGGTTTTTTTAAGCCTTTACACATACGCTTATCTGCAGAGGAATCCTTTCCAACCTTGCATAGCTCCTAAAGGGTCTAAAACAGTATGGAAGGCTGGAGCTGAGAAGCTGCTGACACCACAGCACAGGTGTCACCACTTGCTCCTTCTTCCTCCTCATCTTCCTCCAGGCATGGCCCAGCCAGCCTCAGCAAAGTGCAGTTTTCACTGCCAGGTGAGTGGGGTCTTGCCCCCGCTCCCCATGAAAGGCAATTTGGGGAACAGGGAGCAAAGAGCAGGAATGGGGTAAAACCCACAACAACCAGCCATAGCAGCATCGATGAAAAGTGTCAAACCATGGTCTGAAAATCCCAAGGTAGTGCCCTCAGGCTACAAGGTGCCAATATGATGCTGGCCCTCCTCCCTTAACACTGGCCATGGACTGTTTGGGAATCTAAAGCACAATTTAGAATCACAGAATATCCTGAGTTGGAAGGGATCCATCTCTTGGTTCTGCGCAGGACTGACGAAGAATCCTGAAGGCATTGTCCAAATGCTTCTTGAACTCAGACGGGCTTGGTGCTGCGACCACTTCCCTGGGGAGCCTATTCTAGAACCTTTTCCCAACCTCAACCTCCCGACTCAGCTCCATGCAGCTTCCTCGCGTCCTGTCACTGCTCACGAAAGACTGGTACCTGCCCCTCCACTTCCCCTCTCTTCACAGAGCCGCGGGTGCGTATATACACGTACATATTTTTATTATTACCACATTTTCCAGGCAGAGGGCTGCAAACATCTTTGCAAACCCCACCGCTACTGTTGCCCGGCAATCTCCGCCAGGGGCTGGCGGACAGCGCTCGGCAACCCCGCCGCACCAGGCGCGCCGCCAGGGCCACAGCCCGCGCCCGCGGGACCAAGAGCCCGGCGCTCCCTCGGGCGCGGTCCGCCCCCCCCGCCATGCGGCAGCCCCTCCTGCCGCGCGGGCTCCCCTCCCTGTCGCGAGCAGCCGCCAGCGGGCCTCGGCCGCCCTCGCGCCGGCTCGCTCGCAGCCTGCCCCGCGGCGGGGCGGCGGCGTGGGGAGGCGGCGTCCTCGGCCATCGCACGGCGGGAGCGGCCTAAGCTGGCACGGGCGGGAGGGAGACTGGGCCGGGCGGCAGGGGCGGCCGCACCGAGCTCCAGCGGCTGCCAGGACCGGCGGGCTAAGCGACGGAGCAGGAGGAGGAGGGCGGTCCAATCTTTGTTAGGGGTCAGCGCTGAGCCGGTCTCTTAAGCGGCCGAGGAGTTCCGCGTTCTCCAGGCCCGGCACCGCGGGGCGCGGGAGCGCGCCTCAGGACAAGTCGTCTGCGGCCTCCGGGCACGGGACTGTGTGTGGCACGCAGCCACCCGAGACAGCCGCGCCAGGGCCCGCGCCAGCCCGCCCGCCGCGGCTCCGAGTCCCCGCGCTGACATCAGCGGCTGAGCCGCTGAAGCTCCCGGCCGCCATCTTGGTGTGCGGGCAGCGCCAGCCGGGAGCGCTGCCGCCTGGCTGGGCATCTTATCCCGGGCAGCCCCGGCGGAGCGGGAGCGGGAGGAGGAGCGGGAGCGCCACGGCGAGTCCTTGCGCGGGCCCGCGGCGGGAAGGGACAGCGCTGCGATGAGCGGGGCGCGGCGCGGCGGCTGCGGCTGCCCCGGCGGGACACGTGGGGCCTGACCCCCGCAGGCGGGGTCAGCTCCTGCTGCCGAGGGACCCTCTGGAGAGAGAGCGTGGGTTTGGTGTTGGATGATGGGGGAGCGGGGGGGTTCGACTTCTCCAAACTCTCCCAGAGTTTCGTTCTTCAGCGCTTGAAGGTGTGTAGTTGCACTTTTCATTCTCCTCCTAGTTTCGCTGGAGTTAAACTTGAGTCGCCAGGAACGTGCTGGTTAAACTGCAGTTGATAAGAAACAGCCAAAGTTTTACTGTGTCTTCTCATATGATTTACCTAATGAATCAATATCATTTCTGTGAGAGAGGAAGTTCTACCTGCAGTTTATGTTACGTTTTTTTTCACACACAGTGTAAATGATCTGCAATTCGGGATTTTCAGAAATTTCAGGTTGGCTATCAAGAAATGAAGGTTATGATGTCCTGTGTTGGACTGCGAAATCTTCTCCAAGGGCTAAGCTTCCGTGTCAAGTACTACTCTAGCATTAACCATCTTCAAACAACATGTCTTTGTAGTAAAATTAAAGCAAAAAAATGCCACATCCTGAACTGTTCAGAATGTACATGCACACACAGGACCGCACCATCTGGAAGCATCCTGCCGTGGAGATTCCTTTCCTGCAAGGTATGCTGTTTAAGTATAGACTCGATGTCAACAACCACCTTGGCATATCTGTTAAGGAAGCCAGCCATACTTTTCACATGTTGAGGAAACATAGTTGTCCCGGAGAATTTGGTGCAGAGGGATAAATACCAGGATATCACTTACATTCAAAGACATGTACCATTGTTAAACTTTCCTGCGCTGCTTTGATGTAAAGCTGCATTTTCATTGATCTTCCTGGCGTAGTGATTTTTAAAAAAAATGGTATCTTCCAGAAATGTTGAGGTAAAGTGTCAGGAGAAAACTGCAGGGACAGCTAGTGTAGAGGCAAAATATCCAAACTGATGACACCATACTTAACCACTGTGAGCTGTTTCAAAAAAAACTGTCATGCACAGAGTCAGAAAACAATCTGAAATAATTTTAGGTCTTCTGTTCCAGTATTTTTAATACAGATTTTGCTAAATGTATTATAAAAGTTTACTGTAGTATGACAGCCTGGAAACTGATTTATATGCATAATGCAAATGCATAAATACTGTTTTAAAAGATTTGTGTTTTGGTTTATTTGATCTTAAACATGTTTTCAGATGGATGTGGGGTTGTCCTAAAATTGCTTTTATTTGTCACCATAAACAGTTCCTAAGTCTGTGTCTTAAATGTAAACAAATGTTTCAAGAAGAATATAGGAAGTCTGGATGGATGAGAATGTGTGGTTCAGTTTATTCATTGGCACTTCACTAACACAGTTACAAATGTTGGTCTATGACACTGGTTTCAGGATACCAAACAGATGGTTTTCACCTGAAGGGAAGCTATGCCTGTTTGCTTTGAAGCAAATGTTTGCAAACTGATTGTTACTGAGATCCTCTGCTATGTAGATGTTTCTGGATTACTGTTTTTTCCCCAGGCAGGGAGGTGTACAGTAACTCCTTAATATATCCCTACACTGTGACCACCAGCTGTGTGTAATATTTCCAGATAAACACAATGGGAATTGCTGAAAACAAAAGGAGAGCAATCATCAAAATATTCATAAAGAGTGGAACTTGCCAAAATAAGTTGTGGATGCTAAAATTTTACATAGAATCATAGAATCATCCGGGTTGGAAAAGACCTCTGAGATCATCAAGTCCAACCCTTGATCCAACACTGCCATGGTTCCTAGACCATGGCACTAAGTGCCACATCCAGTCTCATCTTAAAAATCTCCAGGGACGGAGAATCCACCACCTCCCTGGGCAGCCCATTCCAATGTCTGATTACTCTCTCTGTAAAAAATTTCTTCCTAATATCCAACCTAAACCTCCCCTCGGCACAGCTTAAGACCGTGCCCTCTTGTCCTTACTGCTGGTTGCCTGGGAGAAGAGACCAATCAATCCCCAGCTGGCTACAACCTCCTTTCAGGGAGTTGTAGAGAGTGATGAGGTCTCCCCTGAGCCTCCTCTTCTCCAGGCTAAACAACCCCAGCTCCCTCACCCTCTCCTCATAGGACTTGTGCTTGAAAAATAGGTATAAGGGGAGATCAAACATACACAAGAGAGAGTTTTTAAATATCCAGAAACCACGTTCAGCCCAGGAAATGCCTGAGCTAAAATTGTTGAAGGCTGGGGAAATACCTGTTGAGGAAAATAATCTGGCTTGTCCCATTCTTATGCTTTCCTAAGTATCTCTTTATGGCCACTCTGAGTTTTTTATTTGGTTACATTTAGTTTGAGGAATAGTGTTTTCTTAAAACAGTTTTTCCAGTGACTGGGAAGAAGGTGGTACAACTTGAGCATCCTGCAGTTTCTTTACCCTGACCAATTGCACAGTTGCTCCAGAGGTTCTCTAAGGCCTTTCACTATTTCTTTGCCTTGTGCTTCCAATTTGATGTACCAGGTGAGAGAGACCCATTGGTCTGAACCAATAACAGACACTCTTAACGCCTCAATGATGTGCTTTATGTTCACAGGGAGTTTGGTAAATGGAGCAAATAGTTTCTTTTCCCTTCAAAGTCTACTTGTAATGTTCAGATTTTGATTCACATGCATTTGTGAAGAAAAACTAGGAACAAACCAACAGTTCTTGATGCAAAGTGAGGATGGGGTATAAAGCATAGGCTGCTTTTTAGGCTTCAACACATTCATACCATACACTGAGTGTTAGAAAATGCTACTCTGTATGATCTGTGCATTGTTATGTAGTGTAATATATGTTGTTAAGCTTATTACTTGATCAAGTGAGATTTCACATCATGCAAGAGGAATTAGCATTGTTCTAGCAGTTTTAACACATTTTTAACATTTTTACAATAGAAGACAGCTTTGTTGGCAATGAGGTAGCATGGAAAACCAGTTCCTTAAACTTATTCCTGATAAAATTGTTGCAGAACCCATATAAGTTCACTGCTCCACTTCATTCTGTGCCTTATGAACATTTATATTAACACTTTTGAGGAAGTGGAGCAAGAACCTGAACAAGGACTCCCAGGTACTGGGACAGAGGTTTGAATGGTATTGTTGTCTAGGGAAGGAAATGAGAAATTACACTGTAAAGGCAGGAAATTATGAAAGAACACCAGTGAAGAAGGAAAAATAATAGAATTCCATAAAAATTAACTAAAACCTAGTTCTAGAAAAAGAGCAAATATATTTACTCATAATCAATTAAGAGCATATATTAATAGTACCCTAAATTTTGAAGAGAAGACTTCAATAAATGTGTCAAGTAAAGCACGTTTGACAATGCCTCTTAAAAAGATCAGGAAGAATTACAATAAAAACATAACTCAACTGTGGTTTTTCTTTTTAATGGCACATACTGTTGTAATAATGCAAAGTTGGTTTGGGGTCTGTAGCTCAGGAAATACTGCCTCAGTATATTCATACTGGTCTACAGTGTGCTGGCTTGTAGCCATTGCTGTCTTTCTTTACTTATCAGGAAGGAACAAGAATCTCCTCCAAAAGGAAGCAAAATACATCCGTAGTAACATCAGAGCTTTTGCACAAGAATCTTCTGAAATCAGAGCAGGAAAACTGGAATGACATTTCACCAATATACAAACCCATGACAAAGAGAATCAAAGAAAAACTAGAAGAATTTCACAACAAGTACACATTCAATTCAGAAAGCCCAAGGGTAAGTGGCAAAAAATACATTTCCCATTGTTAACTGCAAATAAAAAGCAGTGAAGCCATTCCTTTGATAAAATGCTCGTTTATTGATTACTTTATGGTAGAAGTTTTGAATATTTTAATAATTGTGGGTAGTAGCAGCATGTGTTTAGAACAGCTTATTCCTGTTATGATAGGGAATTTACCTTAATTTCTCCATAGGCAAAAGCAAGTAAAGATACAATAATCATCTGACTTTTGCATAAAGAATACAAGACATTGTAAGTTGCAAGAGAATTGCAGTGATCTGAGGCTTTTGTTAAATTTAAAGCAGGTAGAGGAAGCTTTAGTACCCTAACTTTGAAAGAACCTTTGTGATGCGTGCAATTCCTTATTCAGTACCAAATATATGTGCTACATTCTGTCATTTGTATATGGTACAGTTCTGTGTTACAGAACAATGACTGAATACAGGGATTCTAAGGAAATAGTCTAACTATATGTTGGACTTGAAACATGCTTGTTTTGTATTGAACAGATGAGGTTTGGAGAGAATGTGTACTTTGAAGAGAACGGCTGCATATTTCTTTCAAAAGCAGATGATGGTAAGGGATTTATCTTCCTAATACAGTAGGATTCTTAAAAATGTTGTACATATATCACTTAGTGTTCTTTTGTTACATTAAAGCTGAGCTTCTCTGTTTCTCAAAATAACTAAAAATACTTTTATACAATTCTTTAATGATTGATTAATAATTCTAGAATCTTGAATCTGAAAAGGGGAGGTGAAGATGGTTAGAGAATAGTATATATTGATACTAAGGCAAGTTGCTGGAGAGGAAAGAGAGAAGTCACTTCTTTTCATAGCCCTAATTAAACATTTTGAAAACAGAAAAAAGCATTCATGCTTTTGTATTTCTGAGGGGGTGGAAAAAAATTACTAATTGTATTTATTGAAAACAAGCACACTTTTGCTATCTGAGCTGTAAAATTCAATATGTTTACTAGAAGCCAGGATCTACACTTTTAAAATATTTTTAGTAATAACTACAGGACTTTTTTTTTTTTTTTGGAACTGTAGAATTTTTTGTTTAGTTTTATGAAGTGCATTTGCAAGTATCTTGCAAGACAGTTTTGTGGTGTTGATAAATTCCAGTAGTATGCTTGTGAATATTGCAGGCAGATTTGTTAAATACAGGCATTAACAACGACCATTCATTTTGACAGTGTCTTAGTTACAGGATTTTTTGCCTTTTTTTTTATGTAGATGAAGGAAATGTTGACATTTTATTCAGCACTGACGATCTTGGCTTTTCTGATGCCTTTATTCAACGAATCAGAATTTCACCAGATCAGATGTACATGGCCATCAGCTTAAAAAGTGAAAGTTCTGAAGAAGCAACCTGCGTTATTATGAAACTTGGTCATTTTCCTGTTGTGAAAAAAGTAATTCCAAGTGTATTTAGCTTTGGTAAGTTGCTTATAAATATCCTGTGGATCCCACCAGCTTTTAACACAACATTTTTCTTAGTCTACAAATAATATTAAAATATTAAAAAAAAAAGTAGGCAGCATTTAATCCTATAGCTGTTGAATTGTTTCTTATTTATGATTTCTTTCACACTGCACAATTACAAGTTATCTGATGTGGGTGAAAGGGACTGCTTTCTTGATACAAGTTTTCCTTCATTGTAAAAGCAATCATTTATACGTGTTAGAACAGTCATAGATATCATTTTTTCTATTGAATTCAATATGCTGCTTTAAAAATTTACTGACATAACTGTTTGTGATTTTTTTGAGAAATGTTCTACTTGATAAACTATTACAGCTACAAGTGAAGTCATTGATAGCTGTAGACAATTGGCTTTGCTGAAAAAGTGTGAAAGTACCACCTACTGTTGGGTATCAGCTGGAATTTCAACTGGAATCTCGGATGTGGATCACAGTTCAGAGGCCAGTGAAGTCAGCCAGTCTTTCAGAATAGATTACAGAGGTTTACACTGCTCTTAAAATAAGCAAAGGTAAACTGAAGCAAATGGGAAATCTTTCTTTTTTTATAGTATGTTAAAAGAATATAGCAGAAAGAGTATAATAGTATGTATACAGTGTTCCACATCTTGTATTTTGGATTATATTTTTGGATGTCATCAAATTTATATAGTACAGAAAGCAATTTGCCTAGGCAGGGCGAAAAACTAAAATCTAGGTAAAATTTCCTAGTTATAAAAATGAAGAGCAGCAAGAATTTAGTGTTATGTTTGCACAACTGAAGATTAAAATGCCTGTTGAAAACTGAGCCTGCAAATTTGCCAGATACTTGATTTGAACATCTATCTAGGTCCAGAAGAATCTGGACCAACAGGTCCACAGTAGGTATGACAGATTATGGCAGATAATAAAAGCACGAAAGATGACTATCAGAATTGTAGAGATTACCCTACTTTTGTAAATTTAGTCAGGTGTGAATGAGGTACAGACGTATCATGAAGTACAGGGGTGTGTCAATCATGAGGAAGAGAATTAGGTCTTATGACCACTTGCAAAGTATGTGCTTGTACTGAGAGAGATGCAATAGCAGGGAGAGAAACGGAAGTTCTTGAAAATTTACATCTTGATTTCTTAAATGCTAGGCTATAGAAGAATTTGGATTTCCTTTCTAAAGCCTTGTCTTCTTAGGGAACCCTCAGCTACCTGTGCACTTGGGAGCCACGTCACTTTTCAGATAGCAAATTGTTTGTGTTGCTTCAGTGTGGTACTTCCCCAGGTTTTGTATTGAAAATTATTTATATTATATTATTTATATATAAAGTATTTATATATAAGGCAACATACAATAACTTTTTAAAGCATAAGTGTTAAATGTTATTCTGGTGGCTGTAGGAGCAACAGAGATAGCAGTAATGTGGCTGGATCAGTCAGATTACTGAACTTCAGAACAACAAGGTTCCTGTATTTGTACATCTCTAATGTTGGTGAACACATATACAGGCATAGAAAACTGGAGAATTTTTATCTCAGCAGTACCCACAGGGCACATGCATCATCTCTTTTCTCTGAATGGTTTGCGTGCAGTCACATGCAGCAGTGCAGAGCTTATGCTGTCTTTATTATCTCGCTGACTCCATGTAAACCTCTGTTTCTCTCTTCAGTTTTAAACAGCCACATATTTTCTATTTTCCTGTTACCTCCAGAACCCCCACAGGGTCAAGAGCTTCCTGTTACTGGGCCCCATAACATTGTCCTCTGCCTTTTTTTTTTTAATATGTTATGAGATACTTGATGTGTGGTGTTCAAAGAAAACACGGGAAAAAGCTTTTTGTAGCTTACCCCAGTCCCTGCAGGATGTAGAAATGCTGTCCTCAGTTCATGTCAGCTGCAACCCACCTTTTTCAGCATTGGGTCCAATGTCCATGATCTCCATTTTCTCTCAGTAATAGTATCCGCTGTTCCAAATTTGATATGCATTTGTCTTTTTTTTCCAGAATGGGCTGCAAATGATGTTCTGTATTACACAACTCAGAAGAACCTTAAATGCCAGAATGTGTTTATGACCACTTTCACTTATCAGAAACATACTAAGTTAGTTTATACAGAACAAGATGCAAGGTAATACTTACCTAGAAATATAACAAGTCCTTTACATATTTTAGAGTGTTTTATATGTATAATATAACTGCTTCAGAAAGTGTTCCATATCATATTTCAAATGGTAAAATGCATTTTTAAGTTGTGTTCCACTGTCAGTAGAGCCTTATACAGTCTGTGAATGTGCTCTGTTCTCCTTTTGATATGTGATCAACAGAGATTTAACTTTCCTCTGTTACCTCACGAGTTCAATTGAGTTTATAAATGTCAAGGTCACTCTCAGGTCAGGGTGTCCTTTAATGAATGTGTGACAGTTTCATACAGGGTAAATCAGACAGTAGATTTCATTTTGTTTTCTCTGCTATTGATGTCTGATACATCTTTAAAAAAAAAAAACACACAGAAGTTCAGGCTAATCCTTGCTCTGGGTAATGGATGAACAAAATCATTACAGCATTCCCAGAGACAGAACTATTGTTGACTGAATACCCTCTCAATAACCTTTCTTTAAGCAGTGGTTTAGGAAGACAAGAAGGCTCTTTGCTAAAGAGTGCAGAACTAGTTTTTCAACCATGCAGAGTGTGGTAGATTTATACAGCATTCTGTAAATGTTTGTGATTATCCTTAATTCAAGTTACATATTCAATAAAGAAATTTCAATTATACTTTCATATGGGAAAAAAAATCTGCAACTGAGCTGGAGTAAATAAGATCCTTTTATTCCAGCTGCATTTGATGCATAGTTTTGGAAAATCAAGTTCCATTAACCTGACACTTCCCCACAGGGAAACCATTGGCATAATTCTGAAGGTCACAGTCATTACAGTAAATCTACTAGAAACTTACTCTAAAGGGTCATGTGTTATTGCAGCTCATAGCTGAACTTACTTCTTCAGCAGAGATGGCAAGACATTCTTTTGTACTGCCACTGAGCAGTTCCATTCTACATCTCACCAGCTCTTCTATTGCAATCAAGTATTTTTTTTTAGAAGTGGAAAATTTCTTGACTTCCTTAAAAAACAAAAGCTACAAGGATTAAAAAAAATTGTCATATCAAGGTCAGAGGCCCTGGGGAGAAGTGTAACCTGCATTTCAGCTTGACCCTCTTAGATGTAAGGGTCAGCAGAGATGAACTGTTGGAATCTCTACTGAATGCAGTGCCACATTCCTGCCAAATTCATGGGTATTAGAGAGGCAGGAAGCTGATTTCTTGTAGACTTTAGACCCCTCTCTGTGCCTGTTCTCCTAAAGATGTCAAGAGAGTGCAATTAGAGGAAACAATAGTACAAAAAAATTGGAGTTCTCCACCTGCAAATAATTAAAGGCACTGAAAATGCTATCTAAAGCATCCTTTCCTTCATCAGTCAATTTTGAATTCTAGAGATATCATTATTGCAGTCATGTATCTGATCTGTATGATGCCAATTACGGTCCTCAACCCTGCAATTTCTTGATGAAATCTGGATCTTCGTGATCGACAGCTTTGCTTTTAGAGACATCAGTCTTAAAGATTCAAAATGCCAAAGAAACTGCAGTGTCTCAAGATGCGACATTCCAGTTAATTAGGATGACTCACAGAAATTTGAATCTGAATTTCAGCCTGAACTTCTCTAATACTAGCATGCAACCAGTGGTTATCATTGTTTTCTATTTCTAAATTTTAGAGGCATTTAAAACCAGTAGATAATTCCTGGTTTCTTAGACACTTCCAAAAACAGTTCCTAGTTTCCAGCTTTATCACTGCAACACTGTCCATCTTGTCTCATTTTTTTTAAAAACAGTACTTTTTGTCTTATTTGCTTCCAAGTTAGGTCAGCAGAAAACAGACATTTTATCAATTTATCTTTATAACAGCTCTTTTGTTATTGCTGTTCCCACATGATGTCCTTTATTAATTTTAATTTCATTATCTATTACTATTTTTAAAAAATTAGGGTTACAAGCTCAATAAAAAGTTCTTCATTTTGTCTGAATTTTAAAGCCCATATAGATCAATAAGCTTCCAGTCTGTCACAGTGATGCAAAAACCTGAATTCAGTTGGGCAGCAACTGAGCTGCTTTCTTTTCAGATTTCAGGTTCCGCACACAAGATTGCAGGTTTTTGAATCCCAGGATAAATGCAGCAGAAGTGGGTTTGGGAGTCACGTAGCCTGAAATTTCTCCAGCCTACTTACAGGCATGTTTTTTTTTACCTTGCGGGTGAAAGGCCATGATTCTGAAACAACATGCATTTTTAAAATACTAATCAAATTTAGGCTTTTTTTTTTCTAATTATTCCCTACAGATTCTTTGTAGACATTTATCTCACGAAAGACAGGCGTTTTCTCACTATCAACAGCAACAGCAAGACAACCTCAGAAGTTTGGCTGGTTGACTGCAGGAATCCTTTTGCATTACCTGCACTTGTACAAGCACGAACAAAAGGGGTCATTTACCACATCGAGCATAGAAATGATGAGTTATATATTCTTACTACATATGGAGAACCTGCAGAATATAAGGTAATTTTAACTGATAATTAGAGTCACGGGATTCATTCAGATCCCTACTTCAGATCATATAGAAATAGTAAGGCTGAATTTTCATTTTGTGCTTCACAGCTTACCGAAATAATTTGAGAATTACACAGAGAGCCACATGGATTGAAAAGAGTGATAGTGCGACAGGAAGTCTTGCCTGTAGCATGCCAGTTTGATTCTAACTCCTTTGACAGCATCAAGAAATGATTATGCTTTAACAGTCATGTCCCCTATATTGAAATTTAAGTTGGTGATCTCGGTCTGTATAATCAACCTACCTACAATTCTGCTGGCCATGCTGAAAGCACTTACTGCATTAAAATCTTCTGTAGATTAACCTTTGAGACTTGATCTTCTCCAAATCTTACTGAATCGTTCTTCCATTTTGCCTAAGTAAAGGGAGTTTAAAAACCTCCAGTTTTAGTCAGGCCAACACCCCCGATACAAATGAGTATTTTATTCAATAAAAACACTCTAAGAGATCCCCTATATGCCTGTACCTCTAATTTGTAACTCTTATTATCTCTTAGTAATACAAAGTTGTTTATTTTATTTTTATAGCTGATGAAGGCACCAGTAGCTTCCAGCGGCAAGGAGAACTGGCAGTTAGTTTATGCACTGGAAAAGAAAACAAAGCTAGTAGACTTTGAGATGTTCAGTGATGACTGTATTATGTTCCTGAAGAACGCTGGTCATCTTTACCTAAATGTGATTTCTTTTGTTTCACACTCAGTTCAGTCAATAAAGGTAAGTTTTATTTGGCTTAAGCAGCATATTTTTCCAGCACTATTTAATTTTTTTAACATAGCATTATAATGAAAGCAAAGATAAATTCTAAAAGTAAAAGTGGTTTGAAAAGTATAATACAGCAAAGTTTGTTGTTATGAGTAATTGTATTTACCTGTGGCTGTTCTTCAGGATTTCATGTGGTGGCTTACTGCAGCAAAGTTAAAGAGCAGCTCTCTTATGAGTCAGTTCTTTCTTCAATATACTACAGTCAGCCTCTTTACAATACAGCTGATTTCTTATGTAAAATAGGACTTGATTCCCTAAACATTCTACTTAGTTTTACTGGACCTATTTTTGGTTACACACATTGGTGTAAGCAAGGAAATAAGCCTGGCCCTCCAACAGAAAAAAGATTAGAGGAACGTTCAGAAGACAAGTATGGACACTGTGCCATAATAAATGGGAAGAGTTGACATTACAGTACAATTGGTGCAAAGTATTTCTTCCCTTCTCAAGTTCTTGCTACATACTTGTGGATTAAAACCAAAGTGACTCAATTCAAACCCATGATTTCTGGAGACCATTCAGATGAAATAATTGATTTGTTTGTCTGAAAAATACAATCTGAACTACTTACAAGTTTATTGCAACAAGCTGCCAATGCCACATTCTGTAAAAGTGCAACAGAAAAAGGCTTTCAAGAAAGTACACTGTATGGTCTCCAAAATCTTCATTTTTAAAAATGATGTTAGTTTATTTATTCAGAAAGGGTCTGCAGTTACTCGGGAGAACTTGGACTTTTGCTGCCATTTCGGAAGTCTCTAACAACTTAACCCGAGTAAGTAATGGTCTGGCAAAGGGTTTGGCTATGTCCCTGCTGCTCTCAAAGAATGAATCTTGATTTCTTTCATTCTTAGCAGAGTTAAAAACCTTAAATATAATAACAGTAAGTATCTGAGGGTGAATGTGCCAGGAAAAGGTTTTGTTCTTCACAATGGCTGGCACTAGGAACAAAGTTAAGAGGCAGGGGTTTTCAGTGGCTTAGCATTACTGAGCTAACTCACAGTAAAAGCATAACAACTGACATGGACTTGGCTGCATAACATGTTGAAGTGGAACTGGAAATGCAATGAGAAATAGGATCTAAAAAATAAAAACTAATGAGGAATCATTTCAAATACTGATTCAGTTTTAAAAAAATAGAATCTGCATTAATGCCCATTTTAAACTGAATTTGAATTTGTTTTTCTTTTTTATTTCATTGTTGAACTTTATCCAATGGCCTCAGGGGAAAAGTTCACCAGTCTGTCACTTTTTGACTCTTTCACTACTGAATTTAAAAGAAATACAGATTGTGCTACATACAAACTAAAGATAATAGTTAATATCCAAAGCCTTTTCCTCTGAAGGACACACTAAGCAAAATTTTCAGCAGCAGTGTAAGGGTCTCACTTAAAATGCCGTGTTTTCTCAGCTACCTACGTGGGCCTGTGAATTTGAATTGGAATCTCATCCTGAACATACCACCAGCACTTGCTATTTTCAGCTGTCCTCCCCAGTACACCCCCCTAAACGTTTTGCATATTCATTTAAAGAAAATAATCTCATTGAACAAGCTGTGCAAGAGGTACCAATTATTACGAATTGTCACACTACACGTTTACTAGCTAAAAGCAAGGTAAGATTTTTTCAGTCCTTTCCCTTTCCTTTTATTCTTTGCTTCCTCCCCACCCATTTAAAGAAAGTGCATTTGGCAGGGAATAGAGATTAAAAAATGTAAAGAGCAGTTGGTGCTATAGTTACTAAACAGTGGGTGTTTTCTTCAGTGCTATAGAGAAGAACAAGAAAGAGTCGTGATTTTTTTTTTCCATTAACCTGGCTATGCCAGAGGAGATAACAGCATACGATGAGTCAAGGATCTTAGTATAGTATAAGTTAGAATTGCTGGTTGATGTATGGTATTGTACTCTGCATGATAAATTAAAAAGATGCTCTGTTGAAAAGAGCTCCCCCCAGCCAGCTGCACGATGTAGATCAAGAAAGGAAAGTTTTAACAGCCTGAGTTTAAAAATTTGGAGATGTTAATAAAGAGTTTGTACTGTGGTAAGTGGTAAACTATTTTGTTAATAACATATATTCTTGGTGTTAAAGGGGGAAGGAAGACTCGGGTGCTTTGGTAGTTTAAAAACTCCTCAGGTGTTGCACTTAAATGAATTTATACTCTGCCCACACAGCAGAGGTTCAGTCTCGTGCTTTATTTTTCAAGAGTGCTTTGAATATTCTAAGTGAAAAAAAATTACTGTAATCAAAAAAACACATTTTAAAATAAATAATTGAAGTTTTCATTGCCATGTGTCATTGAGATTTCTGCAATGTCCCTTATTGTAAAAATACTCCTTTTCCAGGATGAAACTTTGGTGCCAATTACAGTTTTTCATAATATGAATTCTGAAGAGCTACACAGGAAGCCACTTCTAGTTCATGTATACGGAGCTTATGGCATAGATTTGAACATGAGCTTTAAAGAAGAGAAGCTGATGTTAATTGAAGAGGGTTGGATATTAGCATATTGCCATGTTAGGTAAGTCAAATATAAAATGGAATTAAGATTTTAATCTGCAGGATATACAGGTATTTCTTGATGTGCAACTGAAGATGTAGAGAAAATTTTTTCATGTAGCTATATGTAATTATTCATCTCTTTGTAGATTTTTTTAACATAAATTTACCTCAGGGAAAAAGAAGACGAGCACATATTGCATTTGGGTTTCTTAAATCTACAGGATGGCTGTACGTAACTTTCAATCTTTTGAAGTCTCATTACCTCTTGTCTCATCTTTGCTCAAGAAAAACATTGATAACATGTTCAAATTGCAGCGACATGTTACCTCCCTCTCTTTCTGAGGGCACTGTGTGCTAGTGATCAGTCTATGTCTTCTGAAAACCATTTGCCTTCTACAGCAGCAACTAAGCATTTAACCCACATCTCTTGCTCTTTTATTGGCTAAATCCTCTGTCTCCAGATTAGCTACAAATCTACCAGTTTTCTAAAACCAGCATGAACAATAGGCTTCACATTTTCACTGAGGTAAGTATGTAAGGAAGACAACAAAAGAGTCACTTTAGGGGAAGGAAATGAAGTGGGGGAAATGCGTAATTGTTTGAAACACCCGGCCCAAAACAAATTCAGCATACAAATATATCTGCTCTACTCAAGTGACAAGCACTGTGCTATTCTTCCTTCTGCCCCACTAAGTATCTTAAGATGCAAGTCAGTCTTAGGTGAAGATGGGTTTTTCATCCAAAGATGGCAGACTAATCAGTTAATTAATTTTAAACTTGAAACCAGAAAAGGAAGCTTCAGGTGGCTTAGAACCAAATTGTGGTTGTGTAGAAATAAATATAAATTCATTCTGTAATCCTATATTTCAAAATGTTAACATTTCAAGTAGTATTTGAAATTCAAAAACTAGGGGAAAAAAACCCCCAAACCCACCTTTCTAACAGTCTCAGAATTTAAGCTATGCAGAATTCAAATCCTGAGTCTGCTGTGGAGCTGAGAAATACTGTTTTACTGTTCTGAATAAATGCTAGTGTTAGTGATGTAAGTATTGAAAATGTTTTAGATGTTCTAATAGTTTCTTGTGTAGAAAGATAATATTATTGTCTGATTTTTTTATTGCCTACAAAGGACAGTGTCCTAAAGTGGTGCTTTCTCTGCGAGTTCCAGGACACGAGCACAAAAAGGCATGGAGTGCCCTTAGAGAGTTAGTATTTTCACCAATCATCATGCATGGATTTATTTTGTCTTCATGTTGTGTCTTTTAGCCATAACTGAGGGTAAAGATAAAAATAGAGAAAATAAGAGTTAATTAGGAAGGCAAACTATGGTTTTGCAACTCCGTGGCTGCTGCTGCTCTTTCATTATCTGAAGCTTTGCCGTGTAATATTTTCCAGAGAGACTCAAACTCGAATTTCTTTAAATTTCAGGGGTGGAGGAGAGCTAGGCCTTAGCTGGCACAAAGATGGATGTCAGCATAATAAACTCAAAGGTCTCCATGACCTTAAGGCTTGCATCATGCTGCTGCACGAACTGGGGTTTTCTCAGCCAAAACACACAGCACTGGCAGCTGCCAGTGCTGGAGGAGTTCTTGCAGGAGCCCTGTGCAACACTGATCCAGAACTGATCAGAGCCATGGTTTTACAGGTGAGGTGCTGCAGACCTTTTATGGATTATAACATTAAGCTGTATTTTCTGTTTCATTCTACCAGTTTCTGAATTAGAAACATTCCAATTCAAAATTCACTTTCTTCATTTGTTTGAGAACACATTGACTCAGGCATTCAAGGTCCTCTGTCCTATTTGCCAACTTTTTTTTCTTTTCATGACTTCTAAGGCTCCTTTTGTAGATGTTCTAAATACAATGATGAAAACTCATCTCCCACTGACAATTGAGGAACAAGAAGAATGGGGAAATCCATTAGAAGATGAAAAATGTATGAAGTATATCAAAAGCTATTGTCCATACCAGAATATTAAGCCACAGGTAAAACTATGCTTTCTGTGTGGAATACTACAGTAATAAAGTGTAGTGATTTACAGCTTTTTGCAGAAAACAAAAAGTGGATAACAAATTTAAAAAAACCCTCCAATATGAATTATTTCTGTAATAATCTTAGCAATATTTGGAGTCACAAGTGACTACTGAGATTAACCGAATGCCTTCTCCTAAATAATCAGTATATTTCAAAACTTTAGGACTCCCAGGAAGTAATAGATTACTCTATGATATAACAAACCTCAACATGCAAAATATCTTCTCCTTTTGTGGGGGCTTTCTGTTGTTCTACTGGGTTTTGCAGACTTTGTCACAGAAGGAAGGCAATATTTTCAACTGATTTAATACCTTCTAAGAGTCAAACACCGAAATGGAAAAGGAGCTATAGCTTTGACATTGTCATCTCAGGGGAAATCTTTCTTTATTTGAAATAATGTGTTAGCTGTGTTACATAGCTTGATTAAGTAAAATCTTACTATTTAAAAAACCAACTTTTTCTCTGCAGAAAGATAGCAAAAATAAAGCTCAGCTATTGTTCTAAGGTGAACCATTCCATGACTACTACTCCGGGTTTTTTTTGCAATTATCAGATTTATACCAGTGGGAGGAGGATGTTTTTGATGACCTTTTGCAAGTAGATAATCCCCTACTACGAAGTAATTTTTCAGACCAAAATGGTTTTTTGCAGTTAGTGATAAAAGTGAGGTTTTTTAAGTAATTATGTAATACATGTTTTTAGATAAATCCTAACACGTTGTACAGTAAGAAAAAAATTTGTTACTCTGTGAGAAAAACCAATTGTCAAGTGTTTAACTGGTTTTGGTTTTTAACCTCAGTGTTATCCTTCAGTTTTTATCACGGCATATGAAAATGATAAACGGATACCACTAACAGGAGTCTTACGATATGTTCAGAAACTTAGGAAGGCTGCACTAGATCATGCCAGCAGAACAAGTAAGAAAGGTAAGGATAAGGATATTACAGGTAAACAGAGTTGGTTAAACCAAATATTAACAGTCATGTAATTAAACACCATAGAGATTGACACCTCCTTAAATTAATTCATTTGTACAACACAATCCCATACTTTTAGCTCCACAACAGGCTCTGAGATGCAAAAAAATAAAGACTGGCTCGCTCTTTCTTAGGCCTCAACATATGTCAGCTGTTGGGCAGTGCAAGGTGAACCCATACCATCAGTCCAGCTACCAACAGGCCCAGAGTGCAGTTCTCAGCAATGCTTGGATAAAATCTTACTTTTGCTGCTCTACAAAAAACGACTTTTCTCACTTTGATAAAGCTGCAGGTCTTAGTCCAAGGCAGAATGACAGCAAGGCCAAGGCACAGGTGCTTTTATACCTGAAACTTAACACTAGCTTTGGGACACTTTCCAGCGAAAGGTACATTCAAGCCTTACCATTTTCTAGTACTGTCTCATCTGGGGAGAGGTTTTTACCATCAGCATCAAAAGAGATCTTGAATAACCTTTCCTAATTTTCATTATGCCCTGTATCTGCAAGCAGCACAACTGTGATGGTTGAGAAATTACAGCAGATGCTGCGGTTGCTGTTGCGGTCTTTGCTCAGAAATCAAAAACCACATCTTTCCAAAAAGACTCAAAGAGAACAAACACACTAAATAGATAAATATTTCTCAAATATGCAATTAATAGAAATACAAATAATTCATTCAGAAAGCCCCTATATGATCCTTTTTTATTATTTTTTAAGGAATAATAGAAATTCTGTCAGGACCGAAGGCAGAATTATCTATACCTAAACAACTCACATCCCCACTTACCTTTTTCCTTGTTCATTCAATGTAAAGTGATCACTAGCTTCATCATTGTTCCAGGAAATTGGATTCCTAATATCATCTTAGATGTCCAGGCAAATGGCAGCCATTGTGATTCATCCTGGGAGCACTCAGTGAGTGAGGTATGTTCCCTTTATTGTACATGTCCATGATGTGTTGGAGGGAGGTGTCCCCTCAATTGATACTTCAGTTTCAGTAGTCATGCAGTCACTGAATGTATGTTTAAAGTATAAAAAAGAAAAACTGCAAGAGCAACTGCTGGTCTTATATATCTATAACACAACAATTTATATACATAATTATATATATTTATCAATATATACACTTCTATAGATAGAAAAGAGACAGTGACAGGGCGAGATTATTGAAACAGCCTCAAAACAGTTTTCAATTCCCACTGTAATGTGTTGAGAGCATTGAATGAAAGGTTCCAAGTTGGGCAAGACATTATTCCAGCAGGAAAAGTCTTGCACTGTAGAGTATTAAGTGCTTAAAATTGTCATACTATTTACTTCCATCTTCTTCATGTGTGAGACATATGATGGGTTTGATCTTTACATTTTGAAATGCATGATCTGTACTGTCAAAGTTATTACAATTAGCTTTCAAGATTTTGGACTTTATACAAGTGTGCCTGTTAAAAGCAACACAGTATATTGTTATCAGTGTCTCAGACTATCACAGTTGGATACAAATTTTATTACTGTTATTTTGAACAAATCCTAGCAAATGTTAATTTGGTGATTGTGGCAGTAACTCCCAAAATGAATTCCTTCAGGAAGAGCTTCATTCTGTTTTAGGGCAAGATATTTCTTAGCATTAGTCTAGGAAAGGAAGAAGATTAGGATAGCTGCACAAGAGCCTGAAGGTTTATAGTGCAAAGAACTTTACTTTGTAATAAAATATTTTCATTATTTTAGGTCGCAAGACACCTTGCTTTTCTGAATAAAGAACTTGAGGAAGTATGCCATCTCCAACATCATAGCAAATCCTGCAGATAGCTAATAAACACAATGACCACCTGAAGAACTTTGGGTCGGATTTTTATTTATATGGAAAGCAAACACCTTCTCCAGAGGATCTTTGCTCCTGGATCCCTGCTTTATGGGCATAAAGTGCACAAAGCTGGGTGTGGCATTGGCTTATAAACATACAGACCAAGAACTGAATTTCTCTGCTGCCTGGTAGTACAGAAGTAGCTGCCAGCATAAATGAGTTTGTTCAGTAAGTTCTGTTCGCACAAGCCAGCAGTGCAGCGCTACACGAGCAGAGCTGAGCGCAGCAATGGGCACATAAAGCCTCACATGAGTAGCACATGCACTTTGTACAGGGAGCCTCTCCATCCTAAGCCATCTCTTGTAAGACCACCTTTTACACAAGGCAGTAAAACTCCTAAGTAGTATTTGATGAAAAAGTCTCACTACTTCTAAAACTAATTCCCATAAGTAAGTGATGATGACTGTTGCCTTCCTATCTACACAGCAGTCATAGTGTACTGATCACATGGTGGGATCGATCAAACTGCAAAGAAATGGACTCTCAAGAACAGCAACTTTAGCAGAACTCTTTGATCTGAGCAGATTAAAAATCTTGCAGTTACCTTAACTAGCATGGTAATCTTAAGAAGGAGGTGCCAAAGTCCCTCTGGAAGACAAGATGAATGCCCCAGAGGATGATGCCAGAGTGTCTCCAGAGGATAAAACAAAAAGAATGCCCCCACTGAAGCAGCCCAATTCATAGCTTAGCTGCCCTCTAAGCAAGGCACAAACCAGCTGTGCATTGCTTGTTAAAATACATGCTTGGCCCCTGTGCCCACAGCAGACTGCACCAAGTCAAATGCTGACTCTTCCTTTGGGCCACATCAGCCACTGTAGGTGCAGCAAATGCAAATCAAAGCGCAAGTGTGACAATCAGCTTCAGCTGTGACAGTTGCTTCAGCTGCATACTCTGAACTAAAGTACACACCCCTCACCTCAGCCTTAGGGTAGGAAGAGAAGTAAGAGAATGCAAATGTATTCTAATTCAGCAGGGAGGGGAGGAATCAATTTGAAATGCAGCCCTGAGTGTAGAATTAGATGTATTAGCTATATTTTGTTCTTTTCCTTACTAACTTTGAGGATAATCAGAGCTGTTAGAGTTGAGAGAAAAGACACCACAACCATATATATCAGTCCTGCTTGTGTTTACCTGCTTTAACAAATACAGGGCCACCCCTTTAGAATAAGTTTCACAAATCTACACATTTGTTAACATTTATTATGAACTGCCACAGGCTCTGGAGCTCTTAATAACCAGCAACTGTAAGAGGTAGCACCCAAAAAGCAACTGTTGTCTTTCCTCCCAAAAATACACACACTTTAACAGGACAGTTTTTTATAGGTTTACTTTTCTTCTCCAGAGATCCTAAAGGGGAGTTTATACCATACTTTTTCCTTTTCATCACCAATTCACATACAAGGCATTAGGTGTCTGTTTTAGTTTTCAGGTTATTTTGTACAAAGTTTGAAAAGCCAAAGAAAACTGAATGTTTTTAGCATTTCCTTGAAACCAATATCTTCTAAATTAACACAAAAGCTTAGTTATTCTACTCCTGTACTTAACAGTTCATGTAGAGTAAATTTAAGGCCATGGAATAACAAGCTTTTTCTGCCACAAAACACTTCCCTTGAAAAGCTTCCATAGTATGGACAGGCTTTGCTGTTTTATATTCGAGGACCAGGCCTTCTCCCATTTCAGTTTTAATTAGTTTGGTGGAGACAGCTTTACCAGCATTGCTAAAATTAGTACTTAGCCTTATAACAGCTTGAGAGGGAAGATTAGGAACTATAGCTGTCAGGTCTATTGTCGATTCCTGCCCGAAGTTGAGGACCATCATGAAGGTTCTGTCTAACCCATCCAGTTCCCTCACATACACAAACACGTTACTGTCATTCCAGATGTAGCACATCCAGCCCCGATTGATGGGGAGCTCGTTGTTGCGAAGCTGCGTCAGCTCTCTGTACAAATTCAGGGTTGAGTTGGACCAGGCGCTCTGGATCTGCAACAGTCAGTGTGAACAGGGTCAGTTCTTGGCACTGCATGTAGGGAATGCAGCTTCCCTCTCATGCCCACTCAGTCTGCTGAGAACGCGCCTATTGGATTTTGACAATTCTCTCTCTTCAAATTTGTCCACAAATTTCACTGGAAAACTGCTTTTTCTCACACACTTACCAGGCATTTGTGAAATGGCAGAGACACGGGTTATTAGACACAATGATTCCCCAGCACTAACGCTATTGCTTTCTCCCACAGCCTCCTTTCAGCACTGCTGATTCAGGAGAAAGCTGCAGCCATTCAAAGCTTGACTCTGAACCTTTTTCTTTGAGTCTAATCTACTGAAGTCACAGGGTTTATTTCATGTTTTATATTTTTGATATCTTAGATTTTTTTTTCTGGTCTTCAATTCTGGTCAGCACTGTAGGTCAGCAAAATCTCTTTGCTTCAGTGCTCTACATGTGTTAGAGATAGTCTGTGTTAAGTTCTTGTTACACAGACAGTGCTTTCTGTGGCAACAGAAATGGGGGGGAAAAAAAGACCCGTTTCCAATTTAATATTGTCCTAGTTACAGGGGCCGGGACCAGTTTATCCCTATGTGAGTATAACCAAAACTGTATTCTACACCCTCTGTGTCATTTCTGATGGACTGTTAATAAATGAATTGTTTGCAGCAGCTGCCCAGGGCACACCTGACACCTCAGGCTACAAGCTAAAGAAACCCTGTGAGGCAGGGGAGTGATCTTTTGTTTTCACACCAATGGCTCAGCTGTGATAACTCCCCTCCAGAAAGGCATTAACATCTTCACACCCAGCCTGAGGGGTCATCTCTGCTAATGGGCCACCTTGGACTGGTGGCCCATGGACATAAACAGCTGCAACAACTAGACCATCAAAGATTGCAAAAATATCCCATGACTCACAGAGTTAAATCACCCATTGTGAAACTCCCCATCCTGGGGGACGTACTGGACGTTGCCACCTGAACTTGAGCATATATAAACTTCAGGTGTGGGGACTTCTGGTACCACTCATTGGATCAAGAGAAGGACCAGGACTTCAACAGGACTGCAATCATCATCTGGACCAACAGCTTTTCCTTTCCTTCTACTTTGCATCCAGAGGGGCTGTGTAGTGCTCAGCACAGGGGCTGATGAACACTGTTCTGTTTTTGTCCCAGGGTGCTGGGTTATACATCTGTCTTTAGGGGTTAAAACCAGTTTTCTCTCTATCATTGTATTGTAATCTTCTTAGTAAATTGTAGCTCTGACTTGTAAAAAGTTGGGTTCATTTCTCCCACTGGTTTACTTTTAAACCAGCACAAATATTAAAAGGATTAAAAGGATGTTAAAAAGCCAAGTTGCCACATCAACATCACAACTGCAGTTGCTCTGCTTAAATGAATATAGATGAAGTAGGCTCCTTGCTGGTGCAAGGAATTCCTTTTCTAATAAAACTTGTGAGGATTCAGTCCTTTTTTTCCCCTTGAGTCTGTTCTTACTGCCAATGCTCACTACTAAAAGGAAGCCAGAGGACAATAGATACGTTAAAATATTTTTAAACCATTAATTTGTCACACATGCAGATACCTACTTCCACATTTACACTTTCATAGTTGGAGTTAACAGGTAACCAGCTACTGTTGCCTTCAGTAAAACCAGCATTAACTTCTCCATCCCACTGCATGGGGGATTTCTCTGGAAAGGTCACCTAGAAAATAAAGTGCTGATTAGCATATTGAAAAGGTATTCTTTGAATAGCATGTTCTCACATCTCCCAAATTCTCACCATTTCAGTATTGCTTTCTTCGGTTTAAGTTAAAATTTAATAAGGAGAATGTAATCCTGCCCCAACTCTGAGGAGAAAATAAGAACCAAGACAGTTCCTGAAATGGAGGGGAGTGGATGGTCTCAGATACAGCATCACTGGTAAAATGTGGAATTCCCAAACAACTCTACTAGAGTTGTCATCCTTTGCAACAGATGGTTGGATAAAAGTTTACTAATGACAGCCAGGATATTCTAACAAATATCTAGATATGCATCGAGTGAATATATGAGGTAATGAGTCCTAAGAAGGGATGCTGT